TTAAAATTCAAAAGAGAATTCAAACCTTATTCTGGTATATTGAAGTTATATTCACTATCTAAAATCCCTGCTGGATATGAAGAAATCAAGTCCAACCTACTCAAACTCTGTGCAAACAGCCATGAAACATTCTGCCATCCAAAACCTCTATGGAAGAATAAAGACTTTTTTGTTCAACTTCCTTTTAAGCTCAATGAAGATGTTAATCCAACCAAGGCCACTCATCCAGGAATGAGTCCATCAGATTATACATTGGCCAGGGAAGAATGCAACCAGTTGCTCAAACAAGGTCTGATAGAACCCACCAAATCAGAATGGGCTTGCCAAGCATTTTATGTAGAGAAAAGATCTGAAAAGTTAAGAGGAAAAAAGAGGCTAGTAATTGATTATAAACCTCTAAACCATTTCCTCAAGGATGATAAATTTCCTATTCCAAAGGCCTCGTCCTTAAATGTTTTCATCAAAGATGCCCAGATCTATTCCAAGTTCGATCTTAAGTCAGGATTTTGGCAATTGGGTATCGACCCCGAGGACCGTTACAAAACGGTGTTCTGCATTCCTAACGCCCAATACCAATGGACTGTGTTACCATTTGGGCTTAAGGTAGCTCCATCACTTTTTCAAAAGGCCATGACTAGAATTTTTGAGCCCATTCTCAATAGTATCCTCATCTATATTGATGATGTGCTATTATTCTCAAAAGATGAAAAATCCCATAAACAACTATTGGGACAATTCCTTCAAATAGCCCAGCAACATGGGATGATGCTCTCTGAGAAGAAAAGCCAATTGGGCCAAACAGAAATTGACTTTCTAGGAATGCATTTTTCCCAAGGGAAGTATCAACCTCAGCCTTATATTGCTCAAGAATTGCTAAACTTTCCCGATGAAAAGCTCATTGTTAAGCAGATTCAGCAATTTCTTGGTATAATTAATTATATCAGAGATTTCTTGCCAAAACTGGCAAAATACACGAGTCCTCTATCTCAAATGCTGAAGAAAAACCCCCCACCATGGGGAGCAAAGCAAACTGAAGCAGTAAGAGCCTTGAAAAAGATCGCACAAACCCCACCTGCCTTAAAGATCCCGGGAGACGGTAAAAGAATCTTACAGACGGATGCTAGTGATCATTATTGGGGAGCCGTCTTCATAGAAGAGATTGATGGAATAAAGTATTATTGTGGTCATGCTAGTGGTCAGTTCAAAGAAGCTGAAAAACATTACCATACCACTTATAAGGAAGCTCTTGCAGTTAAGATGGGTATCCAAAAGTTTGACTTTCACCTGAGAGGTCATCAGTTTGAAGTCCAGATGGATAATTCCTCTTTCCCTAAGATCCTCGAATTCAAAAATAAGATGCCTCCTGATCCTCAAACTCTTAGGCTCAAAGATTGGTTTTCTAGATATGATTTTATTGTGAAACATATCAAAGGAACTCAAAATGTGATTCCTGATTTACTTTCTAGGCCTATGAAACCCATCCAGATCATTACTACCAAGCACACTTTTCCTTTGATTCTCATGGTCAAACCATTGCCAACCCGTGCCTCCAAGACCAAAGACTTTCCTCCAGGAGTAACTGTATCCTCTTCACCCTCACAGCTTAAGCAGTATGCCAGGAATAATCTTTTTTATTACATGACAAAAATCATAAGAAATAAACTCCCTGACCATACTCCTTATTTCCCAGACACGCCATTTCTGCTACCAATTTTAATAAACCCTAATGCTAAATTCACAAAAAACCATTTATGGTATATTTGGTGTGCCACTGCTTTATATTTTATGCCTGTCCTCATACCCACTGAAGCCATGTATGAACACATAATGGATCAGAAGAACCACAAATCCTTGATTTGGACTACTCTTGAATGGTACTCTCCGCTAACATGGTGGAGAGATCAATTAAAACCAATCCTAGACGAGGTCAAGGAAAGGGGGTTAACCTCAGAGGCTATTAGCAAATTCAAGACTGTTTTCTTCATGCACAGGCCCTATCAAACAGATCCTGCCACTAAGTTACTTGGTTGTAAGAATTATGTTCATATATGGGAAACCATTGATGATTATCCTCCAAATCTAAAAGTCACAAGAGAATTAATGGAATATGTTAACTTCATCAACCTCCATGAACCAGACAAGATGAATGCTAACTCCACTTGTATAAGTCATCAAGCTCAGTATAAAGATCGAGAGGTTGGAGAAAGCTCAGTTCAAGCCACACAACAAAAATCAGATTCCCCAATGGAAGTTGAATTCTCAGAAGGACACGTGGAAGAAGTTCATAGAAAAATATCAGACCATGCTTACATGATGGACGACGTGTGGGAAAAAGAGACATCTCGGTACGGAGACTGCTTTTCAGAAGAATACTTATCCGATTAGAATATGACCCCAAGTCATGAACCTATCTTTGAAGACTAATTGGACAAGTGTCTCTTATTAATCACAAGCATGTTTATAAATAGTTAAGTTTCGTCCTTTTGTGTAATAGTACTACAAATAATGTATCCATAAGGGATAAGGGTGTCGGACTTTTGAAATAAGGCACTAATGATGCCATGTGTGTGAATAGTGTGGATTTGTCTTTTGTGAATCTCCTTGGCTATAAAAGGAGACCTCTTGTAATATTTCAAGATATAAGCAATAAGAAAAAAACCATCTTGTGTGCTTAAGAACAAAATGTTCTAACTCTCTTTTCTTTCTCCCTAAAAGCTTTAGTTATTCTATTCATGTCATAATTCCCCATACAGATGCAAGTATGCTCTACACCTGCCTCAACATGAGGATCTTGTGTATCAGAAAACATCTGACCATCGATCCATACTACGGTCCTCACTATTATGGAATGTCAGTTTTAATTGTTAGTCTATGTTATGCCTATGGTTGGCTATTTAATGACGATACAGTTAAGGCTGGTTTCATAGTATGTGAGGCTCCCGGACAGTGTGGTATCAGAGCCTCGACAGAAAGAAGGGGTGAATATGGCATGAATATAATAAATATAGTAAGTAAGGGGGAAAAATATTTAACCATGGTTTGAATAGAAGAATGAAAATCTACAACAAATAAATACAAAAGAGAGTATAGTAAAATATAGATAATTGTTATAAGAAACTAAATTGAGTCATCTACGATATAAAATAAATCATAGTTAAAACTTAGGTGAGGCTACGAAAAATAATTGAAAATATCAATGGTTTGAAGAGAATGATGAAAATTTAGCCAAAATATATAGTATAAATATGTAAAATTCCTTCACCAAATACATATTTATATATAAAATAATAGTTATTGTAGCAACCAGTTATAAATACGAGAGTCACCACCATTAATTTTTATCCTAAGATGGAAGATTAACGAATAACCCTAAAATTGATATAGAGATTCTAAGTTCTTAATTCATTTTAGAGGAAGGAAATGTGTTAGGCATCATTCATCTACCTTGTTCGTAAGGATACTAGGGTTTAGGTTAAAAGGTTTAGGAATAGGGTTTTAATTTTTTAATAGCTGAACTTGTCTCGGTTTTAACCTAGTGCCTACGCATCTCCTTGCGAAGAATCAGAGTCAAATTTCATAGTTCGTAGTGTTTGGTTAGTGTTTTTTTATAAGATTTAATAGAATTGCTTTCGAACCATCCTTGAACTTTGTCTGGGTTGTAAGTTAAGTGATCGTAGACGCAGTACGTAGTTAACTTTGAAAGTAATTCTCCATAATCCTTTTTTGAAAATATCTTGAATTTTGTATTATGTTAGTAAAAAAAAATTTAATGTTGGTTAACTGTTTTAATGTTTTGATTGGTAACAATTATGATAAGATACAGAGTGGGAGAGTCTGATATAGTCTCCTCATCACGTGACCAGATATTGATAACGTGTTGCTCGCGGATCGAGTATCGGGTGAATTGCATGGATTTTAATATTTTTTATAAAATATTGAATTTAATATGGTTTGAAAAAATGTTTAGAATCATGTAAGTCTATAATTTGTTTTGTTTTTGTTATTTTAAATAATTCTAATAATTAATTAATTAAGTCTAAATCTAGTTAAACCCAAAGAAAAGAGGAGGGTGCTAAATTAGAATGGGATAAATAAGTAAGAGTGTAGAAAAGTAAATTCATGGCTAATACCTTTCTAACCTTAAATTAAGAAAAATCTAATTAATTTTTAATTAATAACATAAAGAAAGAAAAGTAGATACCAAGGGACCATTTGAGAAACGTGAGAGTAGGAGTTAATTTATCCTTTGGCTCACTTACATTCTAGAAACAGTAAGAAACTAATAGAATATAGAGTCCACATTAAATGCTGGTATGAGAAATCAAAAGGAACAAATAATCGACTTCATAGGAAAAAATGAATGTATAAATTAATTAATTTTGTAAAAGTATATATTTTTGTAATTTTGACCTTAATAAAGTAATAATCCTAAATTAACTAAATTTGATTAAAAAAGAGTATTAACAAATACCAAGTGGGCTAAGGGGAAAAGTGATAAGTTGGCCAATGAATTTACTAACCTAAATAATGGATGATAAACAGTGAATGAGTTGTAAACAATAAAAGAAAAAGTAAGTCTAATCTAAATAGATCTATACAGACAAAACATGTTACGGTAATTTACTGCCGGCACTGGGAAAGATTCAAGGAACACACCCATTTATTCTTTTGGATTTTCTAAAATAAAACAATACCCAATCGAAAGCTGACACATGGCAATATGATTTATAAAAAGAAAAATGGAGAAGAAACTTTGATATAAAATCACTGTTCTCAACTTTACCTGCATTCTCTCTTTCTGTACAGAGTCCACAAATAAAAATACCACATACCAAAACTTGTTTTCTTCTTTGATTCTTTCATGGCTAACATAAGTAGTGATACACAAATTCAAATCCACATATTCTCACCACTGATTTCTCTCAATATCATGAAAGCGATTTATACAGAAGCAAATCGAACAAATTGAAGGATGACTTACCAACGTCGAGATCGAAGGGATGATAGCGCAGAGGGAGGCGAATGTCTCCGGTCGGAGCGGTGCTGTTGAGGGTCACGACGGATCAGAACGTTGTTCCGCGGTGAAGATGGATCTGCAGATTTCGGTGGACGCGGCGAAAGGCAGTTCAGACGGAGGGACTTTGTCGGCGTTGTATTTTTTCTTCTGTTTTCATTCCGATGTTGCTTCCTGATCTTCGGTAGAACCTGTATAAAATCCCTTTTTGCAGTCTCAACTTATTGTTAGTAAAAAAATCAATAATATTGTGATTATTTATCGCTTTTTAGTTTTGGGCAAGACAGTAATTTTGGATATTGGATAATTCATGATGAAATTTGGTATATAAAACAAGTGATTTGATGAAAGGTTAAGTTTGTGAAATTTGAGGAATTGCTTTACATGATGGAGAATATTTTTCGGGTGAAATTTGTGTAAGAAATATGTGAAATATTTTGCAACATGATTTGGTATTGGATTATGGAATACAAGAGGTGTTGTAAATGAAGGTTTGAGAGATGAATACTGAAATAACATTGTGATGCGTTAGTTAGTGTAAAAAAGAACCATTTGATTGAAAAACAAACAAATTAAAACTAAAAAGAAATTGAAAATAAAAAGGAAAGATAAAATTGAAAGTAGTACGGAGGCCTCATATTTAATCATTGTTCAATAGAAATATTTAATAGGAACGTTAAACATAGAAATACAAAATGATGGTAACGTGGAAGAAGAAAACGTTGATGATGCGGAAGCAGTAAAGGATGCAACCCTAATTCTAGAGAAAATTGGGAGTGAAGATATGCAACCTCAGAAGTTATGGGTTGATATGCTATCGGAAAATCGGAACGCAAAAGGTCAAGTGATGAAATATGTGGCTCCTACTGTTATTGATGGAAAAGTGGAAATAAAAGTAGATGAGGAAGATGCCGATCGTGAAATCCAATACTGGAGAAACTCTCTAATTATGTATGTGTTTGGTGAGGATCTCAGTATGAATGCGGTAAGAAACTATATGATAAAATCTTGGAATTACGTGCAACTCCCAGATGTTCTGTACCATGACGAAGGATACTTCATTCTTTGATTCAAATCGGATATGGAGATGGAATCGATACTAGTGAAAGGTCCACATACCTTTAGAGGAATGTCGATGATACCGAGGGAATGGAGACCGGGCTTTAATCTAAACAAGGATATGATGAGATCTATCCCAATTTGGATCAAGTTCCCTCTTCTTCCCTTGCATTTATGGTGTAAGTCAAATTTGAGTATGGTGGCGAGCGCGTTTGGTATCCCAATTGTCACAGATGAATGCACAGCAAAAAGTTGAGGGTTTCTTATGCTCGAGTTTTGGTTGAAGTGGATATCACACAAAGACTATTAGAAGAAATTAGTATAAAGGATAAAGATGAGAATCTTCTAACTCAGAAAGTGGAATATGAATGGATGCCAAAATATTGTGATAAATGCCAAGCTGTGGGCCATAACTGTGGAATCACAACAAAGAGGAAGCAATGGCAACCAAAGAACAATACCAAGCTGGTTGAAGAAGAAGTTACAGTGAAACCTGATGCAGTACAGGTGGAAGAAAAAAACAATGAGGTGAACTCTATTCCAATTGGAAAAAATATAGAACATAATGATGATGAAAACTTTTGGACTGTGATAAATAGGCAAAGACGCACAAAAGGAAAAACAGTAGGGCATGTAGGAACTTCTAAAGGGGTGTCTTGTGCAAATGGTTATGGGGTACTAGGGGTTTTGAAGGAACCCTTAGTGGCCTTTGATTGGGGACCATTCTAGTGTCTTGGAATGTGCGGGGGTTGAATAAAATTGGGAAGTTAAAAGAGATCTGCTCCCGTCTCTTAGGACTTCAACCAATAATTTGTATTATGATTGAAACAAGAGTAAAGGAGAGTAAAGCACAAAAAGTTCGTGAGAAAATGAATATGAGAAGAGAGTACTTAGATAATTACAGCTCGCACCCCAATGGCAAAATCTAGATAGCTTGGGATAAATCAAAGATAGAGCTCAAGCCTGTCAACTCAACTAGCCAACATATTCATTATGGAGTGTATTCCATAACAGGTGAATTCTAATTCTGGTTAACTATGATTTATGCTCATAATCAATTGGATAAAATGAGGACTCTATGGAAAACCATTGAAAGGATTCATGCAGCTCAAATTGGCTCGTGGTGCATAATAGGTGATTTTAATAATGTGATAATTGCGCAGGATAAAATAGGAGGAAAACTTGTCGGGGAAAATGAATATATTGAGCTGGTTAACATGATGAAGCAAACTGAATTGGATGAAATGGATAGTGTGGGAGATCACTTCACATGGTCAAATAAACATACCATAGGTACCATATATTCTAGAATTGACAGGGAAATTTGTAATGTTGACTGGTTCCTGCGCTATAGTAATCATATTTTGAGTATTCTACCTCCCAATGTGTCGGATCATTTTATTCTCCACATTAGTAACCTAATAGATATAAACAGGGCGAACAAGTTCAAATTCAATAATTACCTTGTGGATGTCCCTGGATTTCAAGAGATGGTAAAGGAGTCTTGGGGTAAACCTGCATGGGGAAGACCGATGCAAAAGGTTTGGTATAAACTTCAGCGTCTGAAAAGGGATGTAAAAATATTCAGTAAAAAGGCTGGTAACATGAACTTGAGATTATCTGCTGCTAGGGATAATCTCCACAAAGCTCAAAATAAGCTTGTGCATAACAGACAGGACAGCAGAACCATAGAGGAGATAAAAAAGCTTTCAGAGGAAATAATGACCATTCATGAGTATGAAGATAGTAGGATAAGACAAAGAGCAAAGATTGATTGGATAAAATATGGTGATGAAAACTCTCAATTCTTCTATGCCTGCTCGAAAGCGAGGCATAATAAAAATTGTATTAAATTCTCCAGAAAGAGGATGGGGAGATTGTTATTGAGCAAAATGATTTAAGAGTTTGAAGTTATGCATTACTACTAGGGTCTGATGGGAGAGAAGAACCACATGATGCAGCATATTGATGTGGAGGCCATGAGAGCGGGTAAACAAATCCCTACTGAGTATATAGAGTTTTTGATCAAGCAGGTCACCATAAAAGAAATCGAAGAAGCCCTCATAGACATAGGCGATAATAAATCCCCAGGTATTGATGGATTTTCTGCAAAATATTTTAAGTCTTGCTGGCATATACTGAGATTTGATATTATAGGAGTTGTAAAGGAATTCTTTAGTATAGGGGAAATCCTAGGAAAATTTAATGAAATTGTTGTTACCCTTATACCTAAGGGGGACAGTTCTAAGAGTATCAAGGAATTTCGCCCAATTGCTGGATGTACGGTCTTCCTAAAAATTATCTCAAAAGTGATCACAACTAGGTTAAAGTCTATGATGCCAAAAACCATTCATAAAAATCAGGCTTCTTTTGTTGCAGGGCAGGACATTCATAATCACATTCATCTTGCGTATGAGCTCATTAAAGGTTATGACCGGGAAAATGGAACACCCTATTGTATGCTTCAAATTGATCTTAAAAAAGCTTATGATATGCTCCATTGGGAGGTTTTAGAGACAATTATGAAGGAATTAGGGTTTCCTCACAGATTTACTACCTGAGTGATGAATTTGGTGACTTCAATTTCCTATGTTTTTAGTGTCAATGGTTGCTACACTTACAGGCTGCAAGCAAAGAGAGGGATAAGACAAGTGTTGTACCCCAAAATTTATCCTCTTCATTTTGAAGTTTCTACCTTATAATTGCATTATCATAAATATTCTTGCATGTACATGAATTATATTCATCATATGGTTACCTGGTTCAAGGTATTCTGAATTGTGGAAGAAACTGTGCGTTTCGGCCATCTCATATCATTTTGAACCAAAAATCGATATTTCTCGGTTCGTATGGCTATGGCAAGATTTTTATGGTCAGAAAGCTATTTTGGTTTGGTTCCATAATCATTGGGATCATATCAATTTATTCTCCAGTCTATCTGATCAGATCGAAGGCTGTTTCGTCAAGAAAAAGAATTAATTTGCTTATTTCTCAATAAAGTGAATTTTAGGTTTTTAGTGTGTTTCGGGCACTTTGGAAGGCATATCTCTCAGCTCGTCGGTTATTTTCTGATGATTTTTGACGGGAAAGTCCCTCTTACTATTATCTACAACTTTTGTTCACGAGCCGGACACAAATTATGTGAAAAAGGTTCCCAAAGAAATTGGTTTCTCAAGTGGATTAAACTGAATTTTAGTGTTGTACCGTGCACTCTGTGTACTAAAACCTTCGTAATTCCTAGATGGAAAATTGAAAATGAGTGAGGCCAGTGTCTAAAATTCCTTATCGAAGTCATTTTCGAATTTCATTTGCAACTCCAGAGAAAATTCCTTAACATTTAAGAGCAGTTTTTTATTCTTCGGAGTTGTTTTCGAGTTGAACCGAGCAATTTTCGTCTGATACGCGAAGTTCGAAAAATCATATCTCGCTCGACTTTTATCGAAACTAGGTGGGACTAGTGCCAAAAGTTTAAAATTTTTGTTGGCTTCATTTACCACAGAGATACTTGAGTTCAAATTTTAATCAGAAGGCCCTCGTTCGAGGCAATTTCTCCTAAATGCGCAAATAAAATTCTGAATGTGTCAAACGCCTGAAAACTGTGCTGAAACTTCAAAAATCCGTATCGCCTGTACCGTTCGCCTGATTAAGTATAAATTTTGCCTCAATTAAGAAAAATCCCATTTCGGACATTTTTCATTTACATTCTGGCTTCAAATTCTTGACAGATCGGACTGGTTTGGACTAATTACGAAAATTATTCGGATAATTGCAATTTTGACTTAATTGCGGATCCAAGGCACTCTAAGGCCTAAATTTTCATACTATAAATAAATTTTTGCCTTCACAGTTCAAAGACAGACAATCATTTTCTCAAATTTGATCTCAATTCTCTCTAATTCTCTCCCAAACACTCAAAGCAAAACTAAAGGAAAATTGTATTTCCCTTCTTCTCTCAAGAACTCACCGCCCGTCCTCCTCCCTTGACCGGCCGAACCACCGCCTCTGACCGGACAGCCACCCCTGCTCCGGCCAATCACCACCGATCTTCACCCTTCCCAACCGGCCTCCTTGCCTCTCTCCGATCGGATTGGACCGATCTCTCGCCGATCTCCCTCCGCTCTCGCTCCAATCGGTCGGACCTCCACCTGTCTTCCCTCTCTTCAACCGGCCAGCCGCTCCGGTGCACCGCTCCTCCTCAAGTTCCAACCACTTCCTATAGCCGGACAGCCCTTCCTCCTCCTCCTACATCCCGTATCTCCCCCTCTCGCACCTCCCTAGCTCGATCAAGCACCAAGGAAGGTCATCCCCTTGCATTCTTCTTCAATTCTCAAGGATTAAACCTTGCTTCTTCATTCTTCTTCTGATTTCTACTTCAATTCCGATTATTATCATCATCAATTGGAGCTAGAATTTGTTATTTTCTTCAATAATTAAACTTCAAACTTCAAGTTCAAGTAAGTGATTAATTCAATTAAGCACTTATTTTAAGTGATTTTTCACTTTTAGCTTTTCTTGAAATTGAATAGTCGAATTGATTGCATTTTCCGTGTGGATTCTGATTCTTTAATTTGTTTTGCCGAATTCTTTGATTTGATTCTGATTTTGTGACGTTAAAGTGTGTCGATGTGAAGGAATATTGTACATAACACACATACACTTGTGTAATTATTTTTCCTTGCATTTAGGCCACTTACTTGGGCATTTTGCATCATCTATCACATGCTCATGCATTAGAGAGCATATAGATTGATTAAATTACATTGGAACATGTGTATTAAGGCATAATTTGCATTCTTACTTGTGTCAGAATGTAGCATTAAGTGCATTTTGATTCTTAAGTGCATTTGCATTGTACATAACACATATACATGCACTTAAACTCACAATTAGGATATAAATTGCATCTTTATATGTTCATACATTTGCATATGGAATAATCAATTCAATATTATGTGTCGGTGTTTAATTTTGTGACATTAATGTGTGTCGAAACCTCACTTTCACTCACATTTTCACATGTATGATTTCACAACACCAACACACATCATATACTTGATTCTTATGGACATTAACACATCTTTTGCATAGCATTTAGATAGGATTTGCATTAAGTATATATCATTTCCATATGATATCACATACACTTGCATTTCACCCATCATAATATCATAAAATGTACATAAAAACCGAAATATCGGCGAGGGAGATTGAATTGATTGTCTTCAGCTACGCGGACATGGATAAGCGAGCCGCGGATAATTTGAATAAACATGGTGAAGGTACCAGCAAAAAACCGCGGATTGATGCAGATGTTGGGGAGCCATTCCCTATAATTATAAGAAACTTTCAGTAAGTATCTTTCATATCCGTTTTCTATTCTATAATTTCAGCTTTAAAACAAGCCCTAAATCCCCTTTTCTTGACATTTGACGTATCGATAATTTCTTGATATTGATGTTTAGCTGTTAGTAAAATACTGAGTATGCAATATATGATTCTGGCCATGTTCTTGTCATTCGGCAAAATCTTTAGTAATATTTGATTCCGGTGATCAAAATCTTCTGTTTACATTGTATTTCTGTGTGCTAATATTGTATAATTGTAGCTGTTACTAATCTCTCATTAACTGTTAATTAGAATACTGATTATGTGTATTTTCAACAATTTTGCTAGGATGAGGGCTTGGCCGACTTGACCAAGTGTTTCATTCAAGTCTACTGATTTTGTTACGAGGTTCAAAGCTGTTTCCAAGTTAAAAAGGCTCTTTTCTAATGGTAAACTTTCATATATTTGATTTCTTAGCACATTAATAATTAAAAACTGTTATAACATTCAGTATTATTGATAGGACATATATTCCATTACACTGAAGCACTTCAAAATGGTGTAGTACCATATTTGGTCAAGTTTATCACACGTGATGATCTAGGAGTTCAGGTATCTTATTATTTATGGTGAACATTCCATAAGAATTTACAATTTTCCTGAGCTTGGATTTTATTGTGAACATTCATCATGAACCTTCTATTTTTGCCTTTTATTGTCTGCAGCTGCTCTCTGCATCTCTTATTGCGGATATGACTTTGTTTCCAAAAGCGGTCGATGTTTTGATAGATAATGGTGCTGTGGAGCAGTTGTCAGTGCTTCTTGATTCTTCTAAAGACTCTGTAATGCAAGAGGAGGTATTTTATACTTTTTATATGAAGATATTTTAAATTATGCATTTGTTTGATATTTCTCAATTTTTTTGGTTATATGCTATTAACAACTGTGTTCCCCGTTTTTTTATATACCAGATAATCAGCTCTTTGGGTAACATGGCACCAGTCTCCCAGGAAAGCTACAACAAGGTTACGAAAACGGCCTTATGTTTGTTAGTGCATATTTATGCGAAGAGTGAATCAACCCCTGTTTCTGTTCTTAACATGTTAGAATGGACCCTTAGTATCATCAAGAGGGGGTTTGGTGCCGATGAGGTTTGAAAATAGTTTTATTATATGTATTTTGTTTGCAATGGTACCGTGTCTTTTTTATAATTTAATGGATTAGTTTCTTAACAGATAGAGATAGATGAAACAATGGTACCGTGTCTTCGATCAAAGAAATGCTTTCCAAGGAGAATGAGGCATATATCCTCTTTGCTTGTGATAGTTTATCAATCATTACATGTCCGAGCACCATTGATGTAAGTTATTTCTGATTTGCTTGATGAGTAATTTAATTTACGTTCCTTATTTTCTGAGGTTGGTTTCAACGTTTTAATTAATTAAAGTTTTTTAATCAGAAAATTATTGAAGAAAACATAGTTGACTCAATTGTAAGTTTATCAAAGATCCCAGATGAAAATACCACAGATTGCATTCAACATAAGGTGTACGAAAACTTTGTCCTGATTTCTAGCAAAGCTATTAGGTATCATTTGATTTATTTTGTATTATGATGTACTAATTTTGGAGCATTAATTGGAGAACGCTTATTGTTATGTTTTATGTTTTGTGACATACAGGGCACTTGTTGAACAAGGTATCATTAAAAAGCTCAAACTTCCATTAAAATGTTGAATGTTATACTGTTGACTGGGGAGACGGAAGGACAAGAACATCCATCTTCACATCTTAATCCATTCTCCAAAAATGTTAAAGATTTTGTAAGGACTGATTTGCGAGGCTTAGGGAATGTGACAAAGAATAATGCATATTACAATGTCATTGAAATTTTAGAAAAAAATTAATCCAGCTGCATATTTGGCTTAGGTAAATTTTTATTTTTATCTATGTTGCCAAATACCTAAACATCAAAGATAATAAACACAATCAACATAATAAAAATTTACCTAAGCCAAATATGCAGCTGGATTAATTTTTTTCCAAAATTTCAATGACTTTGTAATATGCGTTATTCTTTGTCACATTCCCTCAGCCTCGCAAATCAGTCTTTACAAAATCTTTAACATTTTTGGAGAATGGATTAAGATGTGAAGATGGATGTTCTTGTCCTTCCGTCTCCCCAGCCAACAGTATAGCATTCAACATTTTAATGGTGCAATCATTTACATATCGATTGGAGTTCTTTAAGTTTGAGCTTTTAATGATATCTTGTTCAATAAGTGTCCTGTATGTCATAAAACATAACAATAAGTGTTCTCCAATTAATGCTCCAAAATTAGTACAAAATAAATCAAATGATATCTAATCCGGTCTTTCTTAGCTTTGCTAGAAATCAGGACAAGGTTTTCGTACACCTTATATTGAATGCAATCTGTGTTATTTTCATTTGGGATCTTTGATAAACTTACAATTGACTCGACTATGTTTTCTTCAATAATTTTCTGATTAAAAAACTTTAATTAATTAAAACGTTGAAACCAACCTCAGAAAATAAGGAACGTAAATTAAATTACTCATCAAGCAAATCAGAAATAACTTACATCAATGGTGCTCGGACATGTAATGATTGATAAACTATCGCAAGCAAAGAGGATATATGCCTCATTCTCTTTGGAAAGCATTTCTTTGATCGAAGACAATATGTTAGATAGGTCATCTATCTCTATCTATTAAGAAACTAATCCATTAAATTATAAAAAGGACACGGTAGCATTGCAAACAAAATACATATAATAAAACTATTTTCAAACCTCATCGTCACCAAACTCCCTCTTGATGATACTAAGGGTCCATTCTAACATGTTAAGAACAGAAATATATATATATATATATATATATATATATATATATATATATATATATATATATATATATATATATATATATATATATATATATATATATATATTAGATTATTTATATGTTTAATTAAATATGTAGAATCTGTGTTAAATTTACTCTGAATATTTGTTAAATCATCATTGATCATATTGTGTTTTCACACATTCATTCGTGCCAACCTTATGGCTAAATAATCCACCATATACACCTTATCTGTTTTTCTTTAACAATTTTCGATTTCAAAATTTGCATGAGCATTGTATTACAATTATTTCTCAAAAAAAATAATTTTACCCGTAAATTAATGCTTAGCATGGAGGAAATTTCAACAACGGTCTGATCAGAGGCATAACACTTCAGGACACTCCTAACTCGAGGCAACTCATCAAAAGACTCTACTAATCAGAGGCAAATCCTAACGATCATATGGAGACCATATGAAGATCACATTGACCTGGAGCAATCATTCCAAAAATTGGTCAATATGGGTCACATGTAGCATCTCGATTTTAATAGTTAATTATTAATTATTATTATTTATTATATTATGTGATAATTAATTTAATTGGATGATTTAAATGAATATTTGAATTATTTGAATATGTGTGTTATTTGAACAATTGAGTTTTATGAGTAGAAATGTGATTATTTGGTATTGGGCCTAATTATGAGAATATAAGTAATAAGAAGACGTTAAGTGTTAAGCCCAATTGGAGGTTACTAGTTAGTAAAGGGTTAGAGGAAAACATAATTAGAATTGTCATTTGGAGAAAAAGAAAGAAAAGAAGAGAAGAGAAGAGAAGAGAAGAGAAGAGGAGAGGAGAAGAAGAGAAGAGAAGAAGAAATCCTAGGGAGATAAATCTTCAAGAGGTAAGGGAGAGAATCTTCATTATTATGCATTTTATGCATTTGTATGTTGTTGGGTAGTGATTAGTAACATGCTATAGGATTGAGTATCTCTATTTCTAGGTTTTGAAGTCTCAAATTGAAGTTGTAATTTGAGGATTTTGATGATTAAAACTAGATTTGATGATATGGATAGGTTCCATATAGTGTATACATGTTAGATGATGTTTAAATGATGATTAATAAGCATTAAAACTGATTTTGGGATGTATTTTAGTGACTGGTGCAGTGTTGTTCGCACCAGATTTTTCTACATAACGCGAAGGCCGTTGGGCGCGCGGGGGGTCGCTGAGCGCGCCTTGCTGTATGCAGAAAAATGAGTTTCTTGATTAATGCATGTTTGGCTTAGGGATTTGCTTGCTTATGATTTATCATTAATTTATATGATTTCTAATAATTGTATTGATGAGTTTTGGGTCATGTTTGGATGCAATTTCGTTGATTACATGCTACTTGAATTAGTGTATGTAGGTTATGCTTTGGATGGATTGTTGAGAATAACATGTGATAGCTTGTATGTTATATGTTATTGGTGATGCATGATAATTGGAAATACTTGTGTATTGCTTGTTGTTGTTGGAAACATGATTGTTTGTGCAAGATGGTGGATAATTCAAATGTGTTGGATTATTGTGGTATGCTTGATAATTAAGGTTTATGGATGATCTTAATTGCATATGTGTTGAGTAACTTGTATATGCATTCATGGGAAGATGGAACTCCGGGTATTGGCTTGATCCTTGAATAGAAATAGTAGCGGTGAAACTTTGGGTTCACAATGTGCTTGATCTTATATGGAAATAGAAGCGGTGGACTATTATGTTCATATGGTGGCTTTGGTCTTGTCTGGATCGGAAGCGTGACTTAGATTCTAAGGGTCTGTTTGGTTCAACAGATGGGAGGGGAGGAGAGAGAATCTAATAGAGAGGAGGGGAATGAAGGGGAAGGGAGGGGAGAGAATTTAACTAAATATATGTTTGGTTCAAATAAGGGGATGAGAAGGGAGGGGAGCAATTTTTAACAACATGTATGTTTGCTTCACAAGGGGAGGGGTTTTACAATTAAATTACATTTTTATCCTTATAAATATTGTCATTTGTACTTAGTAAACATAATTCTAAATAAAAATAGTTTTGACATTCACAGACATGACAATAAACATCAACGTAAATTAGTTGGACTATATCTCTTGGACGCAAATCAAACTATTTTGTTAATAACAATTCTCCGATCTTGATGATCCATCTAACCCAATAGAACAATTTGTATACTAAAAATAAGTAACATAACGTTAAAATCTTAAAAACGTTAAACAAATAATATTAAATTGTGTTAAATAAGTTTTTGGTCCCTATAAATATTGCAGTTTCATTTTTAGTCCCTCCTGGGTTTTGGCAACGGTTTTAGTTGGATTTGACAACGGTTTTTTTGTAAAAACCGTTGCCTAAAGGCAGGGAGGGACTAAAAATAAAAAACTGCAATATTTATAGGGATCAAAAATTTATTTAACCCTATTAAATTTAAAACTTTTATTTATAACATATACATACTGTCATACCCCAAAATTTACCATCAACCTTAGTTGGCTCATGTCTCATCAGCATGCACATGCATTGGTATCATTTGTGTTTTCAACCAATCCAAGAGATTTGAGAGAGGCAAGGGTTTGGCAGTGAATGTTAGGTTCTCTTACCCATTGGTTCTCATGCGTGCATTTTGATTACTGAAATGTGTGACTTTTTCCTTTAAAAAAATTCTAGAAGCATTGTCATCTCGAGATTGTTGATCATTGGATTTGTGACGTCTTTCTTGACATAATCTCTGAAGTGTTATCATGAGTTTTATCTCAATTCACTTTCAATCATCTACATAAGATCATTGGACTCAAGATTCTTATGGTCACTTTTATCTCCACATTTCAAGGCCTATTTCTTCTTCGGATGATTTAAGGTATTGATATTTCATGGATTTTTGAGGCCATAGCGCAAGTTATGATGAATGGATTCATGTATGGTTGGTTCTCCTTGCAATGTGTCACAAATTTCGTTGTCTATAAGTTTGTTTCAAGAATTGAAAAGAAATCGTGCTTAAAGAGTTACGGTTTCTATTGGAATATTATAGGTCATTTTTTTGCCTCTAATTTCGATTTACACCATAAGTTTTTAAGGAGATGATTTCATGAGAAGTCTTCATTGGTCAAGAATTATATTGAAAAGTAGTGGACTATGAGATGTTTTTTTAGATTTCGTAGATAAGCGTTGATTTGGAATTCAAAAGGTGGAAAGAAATTATTTTGCTTTCATGAGTTCACGAGGATCTTAAATTCCACGAAGACTTTTGCTTTGTTTTTAAGTAAGAAAATCTCATTCAATTCATGTTTTGATTCAAAGTTCCAAGAATTTGAATTCAAGGCATGTATCATCATTCATTCATCATTCAAAGTTGCAGAAAATATTCAAGCTACACTTTTTCTTCACACGGGATGCAAGGTTCTTTACAAATCTCCAATTTCACCATTCATGTTACAAGAACAATTTAAAGAAAGCTTTATAACTAGATTCCATCTACATTATCATGCTACAAAAAGAGAGTGCAAGATTTCTTTGGGGCTAATTTCAAGTATTTCATTCAAGTTTAAAATGATTTCTAATAAGGTTAAAAAAAGGGGGAAGTTTGAAGTTCAAATTACAAGTTTATACAATAATTTAAAAAATTCCTAAACCTAAGCTATTTTATGAGGTCTTCTTGGCTGGAATTTCAATTCTTCGTATCTTGTTCCATAGCCATGGTTTCCTTGCATTCTCCATCTTCTCAAGGCCTCTTTCTCCAAGCTTCATGCTAGGCCCGAATTCCTCTTTTTCCTCCACGCTCACCACCATTGTTGCAACACATGAAAACAAGAAGGGAAGAATTGGTTAGCAAGAAACATGAACATACACAAGATTATTTTGTCAAAGGGACTGTTTTTGTTGTTAACTCATCATTAGGGGCCATGGCAAGAATCAAGACATAGGGAGGATTTTTCAAATCATGTTCAAGCAACAAATGAAACCTTATACAATCGAAATTACATCTCAAGTCACTAGCCAAAGGCTCCTATTGCAAATCATAAAGTAAAAATTAGTTCACAAAAAGGAGGGTGCAGAAATACAAACTCAAGATTAGCATCATGGTTCAAGTACAAGATCAGAATATGGTAATTCCAGCCCAACATAATAGAAAATGTATGACAGTTCCAGCCCATACAAGTTTTTTTTGAAGAGCAAAGCAACAAGCAACATAAGTGAAATTTCAGCCTAGTACCAACATGAATACATCACAATACAAAAAACAAAGCTAACATATCAGATTTCATAACTAATATGTCAGAAAGCCAAAATACCAAAGCCCAATATCATAAATGATTTGAAGCCCAAAATGTAATCAGAATTTCGTAAGGCCTTGTTCCTAAAAATCTGAGAATAGCTAAGTCCAAAATAAACCCTAATTCCATCAGTATAAACGCATTCATAACACTAATCATAGGGGATCACTGTTCATTAAGAAAGAAACCCTAAAACGACCATAGAATCAAAAAACCTCAAGAACAACAAAACATTGAAACCCTAGATTTTGTCTATTTCCTGTTTTTTTTCTTCTTTTCTATATTATCTTATAATAATCTTGATAAACAAGTCTTCATCATGGCCATTGGAGTGTCTTTGAAATCGGATCAGATGTCTCAAAAATGCATGCACACAGTAGACCCTTGCTGACCTGCCACACAAGATCAGGTGGATCCCTTCATGGACCTGGGTTGTTCTTGCTTCCAGGCCCAGCGAAATTCTATCTACACCCCCCAGTTTTGCTTCAATTCAG